CGTTCCAACTTGATACCTTTGCTGCTTAAATTTTCGGGGTTGCGAGGGGGGCAGAGTTTGAAAACTTTATTTCCAGTCAACTCGATTTGGCTTGCGGTCTAAAATCCCGTGAAAATAATGGAATAGTCGAGGACTTTCCGGTTAGGAAGCCGTCGTTGGCGATCGGAGCAAACAAACCTCTGAAGATGCTAACCGTGCGTGATGGCGAAACGTCAGAGAATGGAGCGGCAAGAAGCCCGGAAATGTGGCGACGGCAACGCTAACGCTGTTTCGTTCTAAACTAAGACGCACCTTGAAACGGGTACCCACTGAAAGCCGCTTGCTGGTTCATAATTCCCTGAAAATTGGTAATTGTCATCACTTGACACTGCACAAAACCACAGTCTCGAAACGAAGGGTGGCCGGATCGGTACCCTGATGGTTCCGAAGCGGACGAAACGCCGGATCCGGTTCTCACGCGAACTGACTCACTGTGTGTGTGTGTGTGTGTGATCGGACGACTCGGCAATGAGTTTGAGTGAAAGCACCTACGATCGAAACAACTGAACAAAGACTGAATCAATGGTTTATGGGTCTTCGTCGACTTGTTATTCAGCATGGTGGGCCCCGCCCATCGCAAGAAGGCGGTCCCAAGCCCAGAAAGTGTAGATTGGGGCTTTTCCCGTCGTCTCGTTGCTTGTGCTGTTGCTGCCCCTTATTTATTCCCCGCATTTGGGTTTCAATGAAAATCGCTTTTCTTGGAATGTTTTTTTGTTTTCCGTTTCAGGAAAAATTAATTTCGTTTTTTTCCGATTTAATTCGCATTTTCCCATTAGTCCAATTGATGCTGGATGCTGAAATGGATGTTGTTTTCTTCCAGTCATTTTTACATTTTATTTCGGTTTTTTTCAGAGGTTTTTCTGTGCGTGTTGGTGCATAATTGTCTTTTTTATTAGTGGCGTTTTTCTGTTTTTTGCGCCAATTTCTGCGTGATTTTTCCGCTAATGTTGAAAATGACCAAAGCGCGTCACTTTTTCGCTTGACTAAAGTTGACAGTTTTTTCCTTGAAACCCATAAACATTGGGAAAATAGCAAAATATGGAGAGAAAAGTGGAACTTTTGTTCAAAACAAGCTCTAATATAAAATAAATAATACATTTTATGGGAAAAGGGGCAAAATTGCTCTTACTATCGCAAGCAAAGTTTCACTCAACACGAACTTTGGCTGCACATTTTCTAAGGAACACCCTGTAGAATGCAGATATGATTTATTTATCGTTTGTCTACAGCTTCCGGCTTCTGTATGGTAACGAATTTAATTTAATGTCTGTTACTCTAATTTTGTGTCGTCGCTTTTTGTTTTCGATTGACGCAGAATTGTTGCTTGTTTTCCAACTGTTTTTTGGACTAAAATGTTTATTGTTCGTCTAAGAGCGCGCAGAAAGCCAAGAGCGAGCATCATTGACCTTTTAGGAGGTTCTTTGGGCATTTTTGCTTAGGTATTTTTGATACGGTGAAAATGTGTCTATTTTGTGCTGTGCCTTTTCGCTTCTTCATAACTATCGTCCAATCAATTTAATGAATTTACCGGCAGGAGTAATAAAATAATAAAGTAAAAAATAGACAAACTGGTAAGAGAGTGAGTTTAGCAGAATAACGCGGGTTGGAAGAAAATTGAAAATATTCGAGCGAAAATGCGAACGACTGTTATGATCAAACCAGGAAATCAGGGCACAAGTTTCGTATTTTTGGGATTCTTCAAGTCACCTCTGTGCCTTACGGGCCGAATTTTCGGTCAAAACCCCGAAAAAAGTTGATTTGGAACCGGGATTGTTGGCCATTTAAGGCCAAATCCAGACGATTTCAAATGAAATTAGGCAAAGCTGGTCGGCGCTTTTGACATCGGTCGCACTCATTTTGTTACTTGATACCTTTTTGGCGTTAAAATAGGTTTTTCGGGCCGGTTCCTTTGAGTGGTGCCGCCGCTGCCGCGAAACTTCATTAGCCTAATGACTGTACGTTTGGTATTGTATTAGTCAAATTCACACTTTTTCCCTGCTGGGCGATTTGTCGGGATTTTCGAGGGAATTGGGTTTTTGGCACCCACAAAACGGTCACTGTTTGGCCCTCATAAGGGCCAAAAGCGCCAAGTCATGGGCGCCTAATAGGGCGCACATTTACCATCAAAAATTTCCAAGTTTTTCCATCCCAAAAATTCAGTCAGTGACTGATTGATGAGCTAAAGTCTGTTTCAGTTAAAGTGTGAAGTAAAAATTTTGAAACATCGTTTGTTTCATGACGTTTCGGCGAGACAACAGCGCCATCATCAGCTTTAAAATTTACACAAACTCATAATTGGTAA